ACTTTTGGTATTGCTCATTTTTGTATATTCATTAGGGGTACAACAGCAGGGTGATAATTGTTCATGTATATTAGAAATGCAAGATTTTATTCTGATCCTAGGCATGGTGTAGATTATTTTTATTAAGTGATGATTCCCCTGATCAAGAGATGACTTTTTATGCTGCAGTGCAGTCAACCAGTAATAGGCAGCCATTTTATGGCTCGCAAACAATGCAGTCAGTATGTTACCGGATATGATTGTAGCATGGGTTTAGAAAAAACGAATATTTATTATTCAAAGTTTTTCCATTGTCGACTTAGTTAATACGAGTTAACACAAACTTGTTCATCGTCTGCACCACGTTTTATGTTTTGAGATAGGCACTGTGAACCGTTTGCACTAAAAGAACATTGTTCTTGTTCCTTTCTTTTTTGACTTATCAGTACTTTGCACCAGTTGCTTATCTGGGAAGAAGTAACTCCTGTCGGATACTTGTATCTTTCTTGTTCATTCATGTTTGATGTTAACTGCTATATTGACGCGTCTGCCGTATTTTTCTTCATTTGCTCCGATGAGAAGCAGGTTGAAGTGAAGAACTCTACGAGTAAACCGGATGTTTTCTGAACGAAACAATGGTTTATCGGTCATCTTTATTCTGTACTCCAGTTCGAGCAATGCCGACCGTTCCAGTTCGTTCATGCACTACATTCATTGATTTCGATGCTACATGTGATTCATGCTGTCGTCCAGCAATGCAGAAAACTGCGCGCAGCTTTGGAATCTTTCGGGAAATCGTTGCCTTAGTGCAAAAGATTGTTTTTGTGTGTGTGTGTGTGTGTGTGTGTTTTGCTGAGATCGTCACTTTGAGCCATTTGCATTAGCAGAATATCTCTAGATCTTTTTGCCTTTCCCATATGTCGGTTAGCGGTGCCTTAATAAGCATAATTTTTCCAGGCATTTTTACACGATGTTCGTTGCTTCGCCATCCTTTTTCTCCTAAATGCATAACGGAGTCAAACTGGTCACGGCTCCATGCTATTTGAGCCCCTGTAGTCATACATTTAATCCTACATTGCATCTCGAATCATTGCCTAGAGCGGTGCCATGTTTCTCAGCAGTGATGTTTCGGAAACAGTTAGTTACAAGCACATAACGCCTTTTATGTTAATGCTTGATGCAAAGTATTCACATTTAGCACTGTTTGATAACTTGTAGTTTGGTGAAAGATACTAACTTGGTGTTTATTTCTAAGCCGGCGTGCGAAATTCTTGCAAGCGATCTTTAGTTTGCATTGTATCCGGTGCACGTACACCGACAGTGGTGGGTGACGCATAACGCATGACCAGGTTTCACAGTTAATTGTACCACCTTTTTGATCAAAGCTACCCGGGAGAATTTCAGGTAGAGGCGGCTCCGTGGTATTTGAGCACCTACAATGCCAGATGTTGTCGCATGATTTTGTCTGCTAGCGCACGTTCATACTCATGAGGAACGACATTCCATAAACTGGCACTTCGTATTGACTACCGCATAAGCAGTAGCAGTGTTAGCTGTAATACGTTGTTTCGTTGTGTTCGTGTCTCGAACGATGCTGTTTTTCGTTAAACTTAAATTTAAAGTCTTTGCCTCGTTTCATTGCTGTTATATTTTTTACTTGAACGCTATGTTGTTCAGCGATCGTACTGTGCCGATGGCTTGAATGATGGCCGTGTTGACCAGATCTGGCTATCTGGAAGTGTTTTCGCGCCAACAATGGCATCGGGTTTGCGTGACACTCGACGAGACGGCTCTCATCTTGAGCCTGGACGACAGCTGCGGCGACTCGCTGGCCGAAAACGACACGATGCCGGCGCCGGACAGCATCGCCAGCAGCGAAAAACGTGCCGTGCGCATTGTCAAATCCGACAACAACGGACTGGGTATCAGTATAAAGGGCGGCCGCGAGAACAAGATGCCAATCCTGATCAGCAAGATCTTCAAGGGCATGGCCGCTGATTCCACTAAGCAGCTATACGTCGGCGACGCGATCTTATCCGTATGATTTCATTCACATTTTTGTTTTAGTTCGAAGCTGTTTATCGATCGTAGTCGCTCTTTCGCTGTGCAGTATGTCTGATGGAAC